CCCTGGGCCCACTTCCCCTTGACCTGTACCCCCAGGGGAGGTTGTATCCCGGGCCACGGGTGTGGGGTGGTTTGAGAACCGTGCCAAGAGGGGCAGTAACGCCAGGCCTTTCATCCCAGTGCCTGTGATCCTGCCAGGCTGGCCTGGGCGTGGGGAAAGTGCCAGCAGTCCTGCTCACTGTGTTGTAGAGTTTGAGTGTCTCCCTGTTAGTTGGTGCAGATGGGCCTAGTCTCCTCTCAGCCAGAGCCAGGTCAGGGTGGGCAACAGCAGTGGAGAGGCCTCTGCACCCAGTGGTCCGGGCAGGCTTCCGGGAGGGGGGCCTGGCGTTCGCCTGGGGCCAGCTCCCTTGACCTGCTTCTGCCCCAGGCATGCGTGTGTGCCAGTGGACTTTGAAGAGGTGCACGTGAGCTCCAATGCTGATGAAGAAGATATCCGCAACGCCATCATGGCCATCCGGCGGAACCGCGTGGCCCTGAAGGGTGAGTTCAGGTCGGGGGTGGGCACGATGTGATACCATGCATGATTCCTTTCACTTTTTTTATTATTATTTATGAGACACACACACACAGAGGCAGAGACACAGGCAGAGGGAGAAGCAGGCTCCTCAAGGGGAGCCCGATGCGGGACTTGATCCCGGGACCCCAGGATCACACCCTGGGCTGAAGGCAGGCACTAAACCGATGGGTCACTCAGGGATCCCCTAATTCCTTTCACTTTTAAGCTGACACTTGTCCCTGGGACCATACAACTCTGACCTCAGGGTTTTTCTGGCTAGGGAAGACCCTTGTGTTTGGAGAATGGACAGAAGCTTCCAGGGTCCTGTCCACCCTGCGGTTCTGAGATCCTGGTGGCTGTAGACTATGTGGGAGCCTGTTTAGTCAAGGGCCTCTGCCCACCCCCTTCCCTCCTGGGATGGCCCTCTCTGCTGGGGTCAGCTTTGACCCTCAGAACCTTTATCACAAACCACATGTTGCAGAAATGCAGTGTTAGCCCTCTGCCTCCTGCTTCGGCTCTAGCCACCAGTACCGTGTGGGTGTTACACACAGGAATTCTAGCCCTTCCTGAGGTCACCTCGGTTTGGTATATGTCTTTAAACTCTTTGTATTACTCATTTTGTAAGCTAGAGCCCATCACCTGCTCTGTGTGAGCAAAGCCAAACCCGGCTAGAGTCCCAGGCCCTGGCAGTCAAGAGGCGGAGCTGACGTGGCATCTGCAAGGTGCCTAAGACACTGGGCGAAGGCAGCGTGGGCAGGATGTGACTCGGAGGGGGCCATGGGCCCCGTGGGCTCTGAGAAAAGCCTACTCGGCACCCTTGGGAGAACCGCCTTTTCTCAGTGGCCACTGGCCTCCTGCTGCTCCATTCTCTTTTGCCCTGGGTCCAGCCCGGGCCAAGCTATAGTCTTCTCCAGGCAGCCCCCATGTGCCCCTGAGCTGGGGCTCATGTGGCACCTCGACACAGGGCCTGACAGTGACACTGATCAAGGTCACATTGCTGGCGCCAGCCTGGCTAGCCAGCCTGTTAGTAAGCAGGAGTGGTCACTTTCTAACCAGCCAGACCCTGATCTTGCCGTTTCCTGCCCAGGGTCTGGCAAGATCTCTTGGCTAGCTGCCAGCCCTTGTTCATTCATTTGTTCATTCATTCAGTCAGTGAGTGTTTATCAAGTGCCTGCTATGTGCCAGGTGCTGCTCTAGGTCCTCGGAACCCATCCATGAAGCAAACGCATGCACACACGCACACCCTCTGCCCCCAAGGGGCTTACGGTGCAGGTTACACTCTGGCGTTCTGTGAACTATTTCTGCCGTTGAAAGCCATCTTCTCTCCTGGTTGGAGCTGCCTCTGGCATGCATTCCTTTGTTCAGGGAGGGGAATACGGTGGTATGGCTGAGACTGGGGGCCCCCCTCCAGCCTGTCTTCGTCTGTCTTGCAGGCAACATCGAAACAAACCATAACCTGCCACCATCCCACAAATCCCGAAACAACATCCTTCGGTGAGAACCAGGTGCACAGGGTTGGGGCTCAGTGCAGGTGTGGAGCGTGCCGGCAGACAGTTGTGGAATTGGCCATCTCCTCTTCTCTCCGTGTCCCCAGCACCAGCCTGGACCTCTATGCCAATGTCATCCACTGCAAGAGCCTGCCAGGAGTGGTGACCCGGCACAGGGACATCGATATCCTCATTGTCCGGGAGAACACAGAGGGCGAGTATAGCAGCCTGGAACATGAGGTGGGTGAGACCCGGGCTGTCCCCTTCTCCCCTCGGGTCATCGGGGCTGGGGACGAGCCTGGCTGGGGTCTACAGTAACGAAGGCCAGGCCTCGAAGAGAAACCTGGGCCAGAGGGTCTCTTCTCCCTGTCCCTGTCCCAGAGTGTGGCTGGGGTGGTGGAGAGCCTGAAGATCATCACCAAGGCCAAGTCCCTGCGCATTGCTGAGTATGCCTTCAAACTGGCCCAGGAGAGCGGGCGCAAGAAAGTGACTGCTGTGCACAAGGCCAACATCATGTATGCCCCGCTGCTGCCGTGCTCCTGCCCGTTCTGCAGGCGCCTGGGAAACCGCTGAACCGAACACGCTCCTGGGGCCCGCTCTCAGGGACTTGGAGCCCGGAGCCCTGGCCGCCCACCGAGGGGCCACACTCAGGGCTGTGCCCCCTTGCCTGGTTCCCAGGCGAGGCTCTGCCGCACTGCATGCTTCGGGGAGGGCAAGCGGGATTATGCCTGTCTCATAGGCGGGGGGCTGGTCGGAGGTTGGAACCCAGCTTCTGTGGCCATCCACACACCCCATTCCTCCAGCTGGCTGTTAGAGTGGCCAAGCTGGTGTCTTGTGTCCCCCTCCTAGGAAACTGGGCGACGGGCTTTTCCTCCAGTGCTGCAAGGAAGTGGCAGCCCGCTACCCGCAGATCACCTTTGAGAATATGATCGTGGACAACACCACCATGCAGGTAGCTGGCCTGCCGGGCCCCATGGCTGCCTGCCTCGGGCACCGTGGGCTTCCCGTGCTCACGCTCCCGTCTGTCTCCTCCTTTCCTGTAGCTGGTGTCGAGGCCACAGCAGTTTGATGTCATGGTGATGCCTAATCTCTACGGTAACATTGTCAACAATGTCTGCGCGGGACTGGTGGGGGGCCCTGGCCTTGTGGCCGGGGCCAACTATGGCCACGTGTACGCTGTGTTTGAGACGGTGAGTGGCGGGCTGCTGGCCCCTGGGTGCTCTATAGCTCGCAGACCATCCAGTTCACTGGAAGTGTGAGGATTCAGTGGTTTTAGGTTATTCAGAGTTGTGCAACCATCACCATTGACTCGTTCCAGGACGTCGTCATCCCCCCAAAAAGGAAAGCCTCGTACTTGTTATTTGTCACTGTCACCCACACCCCCCCCCCCCGCCCCTGGCCACCACTCATCTGCTTTCTGCCCCTGTGCATTGGCCTCTTCTGGCCATCTCCTACAAATGGACGTGCTTTTTTTTTTTTTAAGATTGATTGATTGATTGATTTGAGAGAGTGAGAAGCATAAGTGCACATGAGTAGGGGCAGAGGAGAGGAAGGAGCAGACTCCCTGCTGAACCACATGGGGCTCTGAGATCATGACCTGAGCCGAAATCAAGAGTCAGATGCTATCTGCTCAGGTGCCCCTACAAACGGAGTCTTATGGCATGTGGCCTTTTATGATTAGTTTCTTTGCCTTAGTGGAGTTTGTTTTTTTATTTTACCCCAGTCTAGTGTTTTTAAGGCCCATCCACGCTGTAGCACAGCTCAGAGCTTCGTTCTTTTTTATGGCTGAGTCACATTTCATTATACGGAGAAACAGACCACATTTAGTGGACCTATTAGTTCTATTTTTTAGTCTTTTTTTAAAAAGTGAGGCAAAATTGACATAACAGAGAGAAAATATTTAAAATGAGCAACTCAGGTATTAAGTGCACACATGGTGTTGGGCCACCGTCTCTTCTGTCTAGTTCCAGAACATTTCCATCACCCTGAGAGGGGACTGTGGCCACAGTCACGAGCATCCCCGCCCCAGCCTGGGGCACCCACTGACTTGCTCTCTGTCTCTGTGGGCTGGCCTGTTGTGGAGGCTTTGCGCCAGCACAGTCACATACCAAACACTGTGACCTTCGCCACCGCCTCCCCTGTCTCACCCCTTCTAGGCTACAAGGAACACAGGCAAGAGTATCGCCAATAAGAACATCGCCAACCCCACGGCCACGCTGCTGGCAAGTTGCATGATGCTTGACCACCTCAAGTAAGTGACTTCTCGATGCCCCACTGGCAGCCCCCCTGGCAGCCCCCGGCTCCAAGGGCTTGAAAGCTGCTCTCCCTCCTTAGGCTGCATTCCTACGCCACTTCCATCCGTAAGGCCGTGTTGGCGTCCATGGACAACGAAAATGTGAGGCTCCGCTTCTCCCCTCCCCTGCTTTCCCCCCAGCCCCTTCCCCCAGGAGGGCTGGAGCTGGTGTGCCATCTGAGGGGCAGGAAGTGGTGACCTGGCACCTCCCACTGCCCCCAAGGGGAGGGCAGAACCAGGCAGGGTAGGGCTTTCTGGACCTGAGCTGGTCTTGCTCTCCCTCCCAAGCCATGGGAGATAGTGGGCCGCCCTCGGGCTGCCTACAGGGTGGGGGTCAGGTGTTGGCAGGTCCCGGGTGTGTGTGCCCGAGCCTGCCTGTCTCCCACAGATGCACACCCCCGACATAGGAGGCCAAGGCACTACGTCGGAAGCCATCCAGGACATCATCCGCCACATCCGCATCATCAACGGCCGGGCCGTGGAAGCCTAGGCGGTCCCTGGGACTGCCTCCACCCGCTACCCCTTCCCACTGCCGGCACTGCAGCCAGGTGGGTGGGCAGACCGAGAATAAACCACCCTCTGTCCCCTCTCTCGGCCGCCGCGCTCCTGTCACTCCAGGATGCTGACGTTTCAGCTCACACTTTATTAAGAAAAGAAATACGCACACTTCCCACTCAGGGCCCTTTGTGAGGGTTGGGGGCAGAACGAATTCTAAATGGTGGGCCAGGCTCCAGCATCTCCCTGCCCTGCCACAGGCTATGAGAAAGCTGGCACCCAGGAGGGTGGCAGGAGGCATCCCGCCTTCCCTGAAGGCACTGGGAGGGGCATGAGGGTGAGCAAGGCCCGCCTCAAACTGCACAAAGTGCCCGTCGAGGCCTAGGGGTTGAGCCAGGGGTGCTGGAGGCAGTCGGCAGCACTGGCCCGCTTTTCGGGGATGTATTCCATCATGGGCAGCAGGAAGGCGCTGAACTGCGTGGCCTGCTCCAGGGGCCACTCGTACTTCTCCATGAGCACCTCGTACAGGCCCCAGTGCTTGAGGTTGTGGATGTGCCGCAGCTCTCCTGGGGGGTGGAGGGGCAGTGGCCTTGGGTGAGGCTCTGCCGGGAGGGCCCCTAGGACCCGGCACTCCCCCTGCTTGGGAATCTGTGGGCCCTGCCCTACCCTGGACATCCAGGAGAACGGAGCCTGCTCGGTCCTACCTCTCCGGTTGAAGAACTCCCGGGAGTAGCGGCCTGAGAGGGCAAAGGCTGGGGGGATGTCTCCCAGAAGCTCCACAATGTGGGCGATGTGGTCTGTAGACAGAGAGGAGGCTGGGGGGCAGCCGGGCAGCTGGGAGGCCCCGAGGCTGAGCCCAGGGCCGGCCTCCCCCTACCCTCGTCACGACTGTAGTCTTCTCCAGAGTGAGGCTCGAATAGGTAGTCGCCGGTGGCCAGCTCGAAGGCCTGGAAGGGGGAGAAGGTGAGGCTGCCAGCCGGTGGGCCGGCCCTGGGCAGCAGCAGCTGAGGCATACCATGCACGCCGTGCTCCAGATGTCGGCAGGGGGCCCGTATTCCGCTCCGATCAGCACTTCCACAGCCCGGTACTGGCGAGTCTGGATGTCCTCGGTGAAGTGCTTGTGCTGGAGGCAAGGGGAGCCCTGGGGAGCAGCCGGGGCCACAGCCGGCCTGCCCCCACTGGCCCCCACCATCTCCCACCGCCTCTGGGCCCATGAACCCAAGGAGCCCAGTGGGGTTCGCTCAGCCTCAGGGTCCCCAGAGGTCCCGAGAGGGACTGGCCTCCCTGCCCCTTGCAGTGGGTCCAGTTCTGCTGACTGGATGGGACAGATATGCTGGTCTGGGCCCAGTCCTGGGTCTGAGTCATGAGGCAGACCCTGGGGTCTGGTCGAGTGGCACTGTGGGCCCCAACGGGCTCCTTGGGAGCGGGCCTGCGCCCCTGCCCTCAGCAGGGTGCCCAGCTCTGCTCTCCAGGCCAGCTCATACCACCCAGCAGGCGTTGCCCAGGTCTGCGATCTTGATCTTGATCTTGTCTGCGTTTTGGGGCTCTAGGGGGTTCACCAGGAGGTTTGAGGCACCAAACGGTGCTGGAGAAGGAAGAGAAGTGGGGAGAGACTGAGCTGGCCTGGGGTGGGGGCAGGTAACCCTGCCCGCCGGCCACCCACCAAGTCTACCCACAGGCCCTGCCCAACTTACTGCTGGGTGACAGGAGGCCCCCGGTCTCCCGTTGGTTGGAGGAGCCTGAGAGGATGGAGCACGAGGCAGGAGAGAAAAGGGAGCCGGAGAAGCCTGAGGTCTGGGAGCCCGGGCTGAGGCTGCGCTCGCCCCCTCCAGCGGGGGAAGAGGAGGCAGGGGAGAGGCCAGCCCTGGTCCCCCCAGGGTGGCAGCCGGAAGAGGAGGTGGAGCCGCTGCCCCCCTCTAGCCTCGAGCCGGCGTCTGGGGAGATGGGCAGAGGCGGCGTGTGAGCAGAGGCCCTGGTGGCTGTGCTTGGTGGGCACACCCTTGGGCCCTCACCCTCGGGGCCCTCACCCTCAGCCTGTGCCGCCGCCTCCATGGCCTCCAGCCTCTGCAAGTCCCGCAGCCGCTCCTCTAGCAGCCGCTTCTGCTGCTTCCGTTTGCGCCGCATCTTCTTCCTCTTGTTCTTTGACAGCTTGCCGGTCTGCCAGTAGAGCCAGGGTCACCCCCGGGTTCCCTTCACCCACTCCCTGACCAACCCAAGCCTCTGCCGGGGGCCTGCATGCCTCGCAGGGGCCAAGGCCTCCAGGCCCCAGGGCTACTTTGGGTGACCAAACATCACCAGACTCCAGCCCCCCACCCCTGGCACCAGCCCTTCACCTGCCTCCTGTCTCCATCCCCCTCTGGTCTCCCCAAAGCTGCAGTTTGCAAAGGAGCTGATGGGTCTGCCTCTGGGGTGGGGGGCTCCCCTGGGGATGCTCTGGGCCCCACCTGGCCCTAGATGCAGCGTTCTTCCATTGAGGCAGTGGCAAGCCCAGCAGCCCCCGAGGACAGTTTAGGGTTTGTGACCCACGCTGTGTGTCACCCTCATCCTGGGGGAAGAGGTGGGGGGGTGGGACCAGAGACCCAAGGAGGGAGCTCTGAGGAGGCAGGGAGAGGAAGCCCAGGGAGAGGGGCACCCCAACTTACCAAGACCTCCTGGGGGGCAGTGCTGACTGGGGGAGCAGAGGAGCATTGGGGGAGAGAGAGGAACAGAGACTCAGGCAGGGGCTGAGGCCCACAGGGTTTCCCCCCCCCACTAGCTCCTGCTACCTGTGGAGCGGGAGGGGGGCGGTGCCCCTGACTGCTGCCACTCGGTGGCCTCGGTGGCCAGGCGCCTGATGTAGGCGTCACCCACACACAGCAGGATGTTCTCAGGTTTGATGTCGGTGTGGATGATCTTGCACTTGGTGTGGAGGTAGTCCAGGCCGTGCAGCACCTGAGGAGGGCCAGGTGAGCTCTTGAGCAGCCCTGTCCGTCTGCCTGTCACACTTGTCCCGCGGAGCACACGACGCTCACCTGCCGCACGATGCTCTTGACGCAAGGCACGGGCAGGCCCTGGTAGTTGGACTTGATGATCCACCTGAGGAGCTGGTGGCCCAGGACTTCCAGCACCATGCACACATCTGGGGCTGGGAGTGAAGGGCGGCCAGCAGGCACAGCTGGGGCGCAGGCCCCACCCGCCCGAGGCTCTGCCGGTGCACAGTCACCACCCTCCTGGTGTTATTAGAGGGTCCCTGTCACTCTCAGGTGTGCCAGTTGGAATGGTACCTTCTGTGCTCGTCCCAGAGCCCGGGTGCAGCCACAGAGGCAGCTGCTGCCATTTGGGGTAACTCAGCAATGTTCATGAAGGACCAGTGTCAACCTGGCCATCTGCTCCCCCTCCCCCCCCCACATATAAAGCGCTGGGGCTATTCTGTAGACTAGTGTCCCTGGAAGGGAGAAGCCCCGTCGCGCAGATCAGGAAACTGAGGACCTAGTGGCTGGGATGGCAGGAGCTGGCCCTGCTGTTGCCACACTGGGAAGGATACGGACCCCGTTAACCCCTGAGATCCTGAAGTCATCGATGAGCTGGACGATGGTCTCTCTCTTGGGGTCACTGGGGTCACTGTCTCGGACCTGGAGCGAAGGGGACACTACTGGCTCCGGCGTGCCCCGCGCCAGCTGCCGCCTGGGGCACCCCCGGGGCACCTCAGCCCTCGTCTCGGCCTCCCGGCCTGCCCCTGGCAGCTGGAGCCTGCCCCTCCGGGAACTCCGGGAACTCCGCCCCGCCGGAGCGGGGAGCGGGGGAGCGGGGAGCGGGGAGGGAGGCGCCTCACACATTTCAGGAGCTTGATCTCATCCACCGCCGTCTCGGTGTAGTGCCCCGCGCTCTTCACCACTTTCAGGGCCACGAAGCGCTTGCGCCTGCAACCCCAAGGCCTGCGTCGGCTGCCGGCGGGCCAGAGCCCGGGGGCCTCGCAGCGGGCCGGGGCGGGGGGCGGGGGTGCTTACTGGATGTCCCAGCAGAGCCAGACGGTGGAGAAGTGGCCCCAGCCCAGCTTGCGCACCACGTGGTACCGCCCGTTGAACAGGTCGCCGATCCTCACCGGGTAGTAGCCGCCTGCGGAGGGGAGCCGGCGGCCGGTGGGCGGCGGGGCGCGGCGGGGTGCAGCCCCCGGCCCACCCCTCCCGCCGCCGGGCCGCCCGCCGGGCCTCACCCTTGCAGTAGTCCTTGGGGTCCTCCTGCTCCTCGTCGTCGGAGCCCAGCAGCCCCTGCAGCATCCGGGGCGCCGGCGCGGCCGGGGCGAGTTCGGAGCCCGACGACTCGGGGCCGCAGGACGCCTGCGAGCTGCGGGTGCGGCGGGCGGGCGGGCGGTGAGCGCGCGGTGCCGGGGTGCGGGGCCCCCCCCCCGAGAGCCCGGGCCGAGCCCTACCTGCTGCTGCTGCCGCTGTCCCCGGCGCCGCCGCCCGCGCTGGCGCTCATCCCGGCCGCGGCCCGCAGCTCCCGCGCCCCCGGCGGCTGCTCCCGTGGGGCCGGCCGCCGCCCGGCATTTATAGGCTCGGCCTCGCCGCTGAGCTCACCCGCCTTTATAAATAGCCTCCCAGCTGCTCGGCTGTGGGCAAGGTATGCGGCGGGGAGGAGGCGCCGCGGCCACCGGCGGGCCCCCGCCCCACCCCCACCGGCGACGGGCCGCGCTGGGACCGTCGGGGCCACTCGGCCTCCACGCTCGCGCCGACGGGGACCCTGGGACACGGGGGACACCCCCGCCCCGGCAGGATGCCCTAACGCAGTGCCCAGGCTAAGGCCTTGTGGCGGGGGGGGGGGGGGGCCACTGAGTGGGGGTGTGTCAGCCACCTGCTTCCCAGGCCGAGTCCCCACACGGCAGAGCTGGAGCCAGCTGAGGGGGACAGTGGGCAACCTGGTCCTCAGGCCGCCCCCACGCCCCCCCACAGAGCTCACATGCCCTAGGACAACAGTGACACTTGGAACATTCTCCGGTTTCCTGCTTGGCCCCTGTGGTCGCCTTCCCAGAGGTGACCCTCCCTGTTCCCACGCAGACCCCATTCCCTGCGCACACTCAGTGCTCTTCCACCTTACGTGGCCTCTTGACCCTTTAGGCCGGCAGGAGCTCCCCCCTCCCCCCCCACCCCCCGGGGCCGAACGTGGTGTCACTGGGGATTCTGGATGAATGAGTCAAGGCCTGAGCTGAGGGCAACTGGTTCCTCCCACCGGAGGTGCCGGGACCGGGTCAGAGCCTGGAAGCCTACCCGCTCAGGACTCCAGCACCGACCCCGTGTGCTCTCCCTTCCAGCTCCTCGGGGCCCTGCAGCCATCCCCGCCTTCCTCGCTGGGCCCACCATCCACCTTGCCCTGTCCTCGGAGGTCCTCCTCTAGGGACCAGACAAGCCCACAACTCTCAGGACATGCCAGAGGGATGCCAGGGTCGGGTCCAGCAGAGCCCTCTAGAGCCTGTGACTTGGGGCTGCATCCAAGGGATGGGGGAGTGTTGGCTCCCCAGGAAGGGGTAAGTGGGTAAGCCTCCAGGGAGGTGCGGGGCCTGGCTGGGGTGAGGCCTACAGCCTGACAGACATGAGGACACCTCCTGGGCCAGAGTGGTAGGCGGGGGTGGGGGGGAGGGAGGCCGGGAGGCCGGGAGGCCGGGGCACTAGCCGGAGGCTCCCAAGGAGGCTGAGGGGCACTTGTGCTCTTTAGAAGGATCACTCTGGCTGCTCCCTGGAGGGACTGGAGGCGCCAAGTGTGGAGCTGGGAGGCCAGCTAGGGACTGTCGGGGAGTCAGAGAGGCACCGAGGGGACTCGGCAGTGATGCTGGTTAGCCTAGGATGGGAGATGCTAGGTCGTATTGTCCCTGGGCCAGGAAAGAACTGGCAGGGCATGGTAGGCAGACAAGGGGGCTGGTGGGCCAGGGGAGGCGAGAGGAGAGCAAGGCCTGGGGGTGCCTGGTGACCCCCTCTTCCTTAGGCAGGGAGTCACAGCCACGGGGCTGGGGGACGGCCAAGCGAGGAAGCGCCGAGTACACTCATAGGGCTAGGCAGGGCCTGGGGATTGGGCTTTTGCTAAAAAGATGTATTTCTACTTTATTTCCAGATGTGATTCTCCAGCAAGCAAATAAATACAGTGGGGGAGGAGGGAGAAGAGGTAAGGATTCCTATAAATTAGAAAGAAGCCCAGGGAGGGGAGCGAAGGGCCGGTGGCCGTGGCGGGAGAGGTGGCAGGGAGCCTCCTGGTGGGCACAACCCCCTTCCGCTCCCAGCCGGCCCCTCCTCAGTTGCTGGCTCCATCGAGGGGTCAGAAGGCACCGCGGTGGGAGGGCCTGCTTGCTCCTCTGCAGGCCGCTGGGCGTCTGCTATGGCCCAAGCTTACAGGTCCGTCACCTTGTTCTCCACCAGCGCCGCTACCTGCTGCAGTCGGCAGGCCAGCTGCATCTTCTGGCCCACAGGGTCCTCCTCCAGGGCGCTGATGATCTGCCAGGGAAGAGGAGGGTGCCCTGCCTGACACCTCTGCCCTCGGTCCATCAGCTCAGGGACACCCCAGCCCTGTGTCCATCTCAGCAGAAGCTTCTGGATCCGGCAGGGGCTGCCCCATGCCTCCCTGAGAAGTCTGGACTGAAGTCACGCCTCTTCCCCAACCTGGGCCCTCCCTCCCCTCCGCCTGTTGGGCCTGGATACCTCCTTCCATCCCACACCCCACCCCCAAGGTTCCTGGGGCCTCCCTCTGGGTTCTGGGGGTGTGCCCCTCCCCCCTGGAGTACCGCAGGCCTCACCTGGTCATAATACCTGTGGATGTGGTTGTAGAGTTCTTGCAGAGCTTCCAGACAGTGGGGAGCAGACGTGTAGTTCTGGGGACCGACCGTGCAGAGGTGAGGCCCCAGCCTGGACCTTAAAGCCCAAGCCCCGCCCCTCCCCTCTGCACCCACGCAGATGTGCAGCTGTGTGCCCCCTGGGCCGTGCCTCACCCCAGAGAGCTCGGCCAGAGCCGAGTTCATCTCCTGGTAGCTCGCCGGAGAGCTCTGGCGGATGTCGGAGTAGTATCTGGCAGAGGAGATGCTGTTAGGGGCGGGCAGCCCCTGCCCCCCGGGCCTAGTGCCCCAACACCTACCTCTCCACCATCTGCTTGTAGCGAGGGATCTCCCGGGCATACAGCAGTTTGTTCACTGGGGAGTCCTGCTCCGGGTAGGAGTGGGCCTGAGCGGGGAGGTGGGGGGAGCTCCGGCCCTGTCACCGGATGTACCACCAGCGCCCCCTCGCCCAGCCTCCTGGCCCCCGTTCTGTGCCACCCGTGCCCCAGCACCACTCAGGGCTCTGTACTGAGCCCCCGCGGCGCTCACCCCGTAAGCCGGGGCGGTCCTGCCCTTACCCTGCCCACTTTATGCTCGGAGACCGTGCAGGAGTCGATGAAGGTTTGGGCGATGACGGCGAGGATGGCATCCACGTTGTCTGACACCCGCACGTCAAAGATGAGCTGCGGGTTCTTCAGGGCGTTCACCCAGAACCGCAACAGCAGGCTGGGGGGCACAGGCCCGCAGACGCACCGTCAGCCCAGGCCCCCCACCTGACTTCCACGGGGAGCTGTCTGCCAGTCCGCGTTCAGGGTGGCCGGAGATCCAGGCCCAGCTGGGGCTGCCCAGCTCGGCTCCCTGTGGCCCCCGCCCTCCGCACGAGGTGGGGGACAGCCGGTGACCTACCTGTTGGTCTTCCAGATGTGCAGCGTCTCCGGGTCCTCGATGCCGTGCTTCTCGGCCAGCTCGTCCAGGAAGTCGAACAGGTACTTGATGGCAATGGGCACGGGCCTGTTCACACTGAGGATGGCCTGGAAGGTGTCATCCACGAACTTCTGCAGGGTGCCCTGGAAGGTGTGGGCGGGCCGTGTGGGCGGTGTGCACTGGCGCCAGGCCCGACCCCCAGCCCGGTCAGGGGCCCCCGGGGGGGCGCCTTCCCAGCCCCGGAGCCCACCCACCTTCATGGAGAGCAGGCGGGTGAGGTAGATTTCCGGGATGGCCTTGGCCCGCGCCCGCTCCCGCTCCCGCTCCCTCAGGCTGCTGCGCCGGGCCTTAGCTCCTTCTGGCTCTTCGGTGCCTTTCACCAGGTGCCAGAGGTGGACCCCACCCTCCTCACCATCCTCCAGCATGGGAACGTCTGAGGGCCCGGAAGTCTGGCCTCAGTCCTGTGCCCCGTACCCCCTGCCCCAGCACTGGCGGCGGTTGCCCAGCCTGCTCACCTGGCCCTGTGGGGCTGGGGGTGGCAGCGGAACCAGGGCAGCGGGAGGAGAGCTCAGCCCAACAGCCCCCGGTCCCAGAGCTGCCCGGCCAGGATGAGCTGCTGCCCTGGTCTGCCCCAGGTCCGTGGCCCTGCGTACAACTTTGGCGGCGGCCCCCCTCCCCGGCAAGGTGTGGGGGACACCCAGGCGAGGCAGAAGGCAGGACTGGTTGTCCCGCCTGCCCGCTCCAAGCTCTGGGGGCATGTGGGGGCATAGGACTCACTCTCGCCCAGGGTGCAGTTCTGGGCCAGGCTTTGGGAGACGGCCTCTCCGTTGTGCAGCTGGGGGATGAGCCCCACGGTGGCTCCGTCCGGGACCTGGGGGGCAGGTGAGCAGAGGCTGGGCTCCTTCCTGGGCTGGCCCAGAGGCGGGGGCCTGCCCCCCCCAGCCCCTGCCCGCCTGGCACCTTGTAGTGCTGAAGAGTGTTGAGTCTCTTCCAGTGGTTCTGGGTCACTGAGGTCAGGTCCTCATCTGACAGGGTTAGGTGACCAGCAAGGCCCGAGCGCCACTCTGGGGGCACCCAGGGAGGCCAGTCAGCCCGCAGCCTGCTCTCCCAGTCTGCCATTTGGAGCCAGGTGGGGCTGAGCGTGTACAGGTGGGGACGGCCCCATGCAGGGAGAGCCAGGTGGGGCTGAGCGTGTACAGGTGGGGACGGCCCCATGCAGGGACGGGGGCTCTCACCGAGATCTAGGGCATGCGCTGAGGGCCTCTGGGAGAAGGGGGTGCCCTTGTAGACTTGCTCCAACACCTTCTCTTTGACCTGGGTGATGGTGTCTGTGTCGAGCACCCGGGCGGGCACGTGCTGCACCGCACCGCCCCCTGCGGCCCCGCCAGCCCTGGGGCCCGCCAACACCATCAGCGTCAGGGGCCGGAACTCCACGTCCTCCCGAAGCAGCCGGCTGTCGTTCAGGGTCCGTTTTGCCTTGCCGGTCACAGCGTCCACGGGGCCCTTGTCCACCTGGTACTGTATGGCCCGGAGGAGCATGTACAGCGGCTCACCGGCCACCTCCTGCAACCATCAGGACGGGCCAGAGTCGGTGCCCGGGACAAGGTAGGGGCAGGGAGGGGCTGTCCACTGTGGAGGGAGGACGATGACAGCCGGCCTCTGCCTCACACCTGGCCCTTCACTTCCCACCCCTCATACCCCGAGGCTCCCAGGGAAACTGTGGGAACAGGTCAGGGAGGCCACAGCAGCAGCCTTCAGATGAGGGGAAGGCGACGGTGCCATCCCGGGCGCCCCTCACCTTCAGGAAGGCATAGAGACAGATGGACAGCCAGTTGGTAAGCAGCTTCTCCACCATGGTCTCTGTCCTGTGGGGAGCAGGCCCCAGGTCAGAGAGAGGGTGTCACTGGGCCACCCTGTCCCTGGGCTGACGTGGGCAAAGGAGGGAAGGCAGGACGGGGTGGGGGGTGGGGGGTGCAGCTCAGCGGGGAGCCTCCACCCTGGCTGCCAGGCCCACGGTGGGACCAAAGCCAACCTGCGCAGCATGAGCTTGGGGTTCTTGTGCACGTAGTGGGCAGCCAGGTCACTCAGCAGCGTCCTCAGGATGTCCGTCAGGTACTCGAGCTTGCCATGCAGCGCCAGGGACAGCAGAGAAGCCACGTGGCAGCGGTCCCGCTGGGAGAAGCTGGGCTGCTCCTCCAGGGTGTGGATGAGCTGGCGGGAGGGGTGCCGGCACTCAGGGGAGGCTCCCCCTGGCCCCCCCGCCCCCGTGCCCCCCTTCCAGACCCTGCGGGTGCCCCGCCCAGCCACGCAGCCCTCACTGTGAGGAGGAAGAGCTTGCTGTTGAGCAGGTTGGAGAGCTGCGTGAGGCCCTGGCGCACGGGGGCGCGGCGCCCCTCCTCCCCTGGCCCCTCGAGCACAGGCTGCAGGGGGCAGCCGCCGTGCCCGGGGAAGAAGACCCGCTCGGCATAGGTGTGGTAGTCCAGGAAGGGGATCCCGCTGGCCTCCAGGTCGCTGCTGAGGTCGGTCATCTCGGTCATCAGGTCTGCGGGCGGGGAGCCACCGAGGTATGCGCTGGGGCTCAGGTGGGCCCCCTGGCACCCTCCCCGCTGCGCTCTCCTCACCTGTGAACTCCTTGCGGCACTGGTCACCCACACCAATCTCCAGGTTCTCCAGTTGTACCAGGACCTTCTGATAGTCCCGCAGGGCCTGCTTGCTCTTGTGCCTGCACCCCGGGGGCCAGGTGTTAGTCACTGGCCCGAGACGGTGGGGCCCCTGAGGCCACCAGGCCTGGAAGCCCACCTCTGGCACCTTTCCCGAAGTGCAGAGGGGAGTTTGTGCAGGTGCCTGCGGCACCGGCAGCGGCACCAGCACCGGCACCGGCACCAGGAGGGGTCTCTCACCTGTACATGAGGGTGAGGAGGAGGACAGCGGCGATCAGCACAGCGGCGCCCAGGCCCAGGCCCACCTGGGCCTCCACGGGGAAGGCAGACAGAGTGGGCTCAGTCTCGTACTGGACGGGGCCCAGGGCCAGGCGCACGTTGCCCATCTGAACCTGAGGGCAGGGTCGGGGGCAGGCTCCTGAGTGGGGGGGCCCCAGGGCTCTGCCTGCCCAGCCACCCGTGCCCCTGGAGCCCCAGCTCACCACGAACTGCGGCAGGGCACTGGAGCCGTTGGCGGGCTGTGGGGCCCGGGAGGGCGGCTCGCAGTACAGGTGGGTGAGCGTGAGCGTCTTCACCAGGCACTCGCCGTCGCCGATGTGCACGCGCACCTCCTCCTTGCTAATCCCCAGGTTGAGGCCCTGGCCCTGGGAGAGAGACCCGAGCCTGAGCCACGGTGCCTGGCCTGTGTCCTCGCTCCCCGCACGGAGCTCGCCTGCGGAGCCCTCACCTCCACGTCCAGGACGTTGCCCGGCTTGAGGCGGTAGGGGCGGGTGGGCTCCTCGCGGCTGAGGGGCGCCAGACGGGGGTTGGGTTGGTACTGGAAGTCCTGGCCCCCGTTGGCGCTGGCAAAGTCCACGTGCACGTTGTCTAGGGTGAAGAAGACCCGCTGTGGGTGCACCCCATCTGGCACGGCAGGGCTCTGGCACAGAAGGAGGCTGGACGAGTTGATGGAACAGACAGTGGAGCACTGCGAGGCGGCAGGGGCCGGGACAAGGAGGGGTGAGCCGGGGCTCCCTTGCTCGCCCCCAGGGGCAGAGTGGCCCACCCCACCCCCGCCCTGGGTGTGACCAGCCCTGCCGCCTGCCTGTGGGGTGCTCACCTGCAGCAAGCCCTCCTGAAGCTGGATACAAGCCTGGGGCGCTGCGGTGGGGCCCCCACAGCTCGTCCTCGGGGTTGGGTCCTGGGGCTCGGCACCTGCAGCCTGCACCTCCGCCGTGGCCGCCAGCCACACCGACAGCAGGGGCTGCTGCACCACGTCCAGGCCCGTGCCCCTGACTCGGATCAGCCGCCCGCCCCTGTGTCAGGGTGGCAGTCAGCAGCGGTGGAGGTGGCAGGTGGCCCGGCCCGGCCCCACCTCCCCGGCCAGGAGCAGAGGCTGCCTTGAGGGCTTGAGGTCCTCACCCCCGGAAGCTGACGCTGGGCTCCGCCGCCACCAGCTGCGGGTTGGCCGTGTACTGGAAGGGGCTGGTGAGCAGCGTGCGCTGGGCATGGCCAAAGACCACTCGAACCACAGCTTCTCCTGGGCTGGCCTGGGACATGGTGTGGCACACGATGGCCTCAGGACACACCGGCTCCTGGCTGCAGGGCGGAGGGGCTGGCATCTTGGGTTCTAGCCTGGGCCTGGCCACCTCCACCCAGAGACCCACTTGCCACCCTCAATGAGGGCACCACTAGGGGTGGGCACAGCGACCATTTCTCTTGGACTCGGCGGGGGGCCTTAGAGAGCCCCACGCCCACTGCCCCCACGTACACGAGGGGATGATGAGGCCCACGGCGCATACCCCCAGCTGACAGCAACTCGGTGGGGATCGGGAGGAGAGATACTCACATAGGGCAGGGCTGTGCACCCACAAAGGCACTGATGTTGCCTCCCGTCTGGAGGTGCTGCCCGTGGATAGTGAGCTGGGTACCCCCTGCCTGGGGACCCCACTGGGGACTCAGGCTCAGCAGGATGGGGTCCTGGGGGACAGAGCAGGCTGGGGCAGCCACGGCAGCCTGGCCCGACACTCACCCAGGCTCCAGTCCCCGAGGTGCTTGGCCTTTATCCCGTGGGCTACAGCTGACCTCCCCCTCCCCTGACCTCACAGCTCTGCTCTGCCCCTCAGGAGGCCTCATCCTCTGCCGCGGGCCTCCTCCCGCCCCCCCCCCAGCTCTACATCCTGAGATGCGGTCGCCAACCTGGGGGGCTGCAGACCCCTTGATACTAGCCTGTCGCTGCCTCCCACTGCTCCCGCCCTGGGCCTCCTGGCTTCCGCTCTCCCTCCGTTCCCTGCTAGGCCTGTAGACACCAGACGTGCAAGTCCCCACCGCTCTGAGTCCTGCAGCGGCTCCCTTCCCTTGTCACCCCCACCCTCGCCCTGGCCTGCCTGCCGTACTCCCTGCTTCCACCGCCCTCCTTCTGCCTGGACAGATGCCAGCAGTAGGGTCCCCACTGTCCTGCTGCTGCCCCTCGCCCGTCCTCCACTCAGCGGCCGGAAGGATCGATCAGATCACATGCTTTTTCTTCTGGACAGGTGGGAACTCTGCCCGCTACCCCGAGGCCAACCTTGAAGCCCTCACTTAGGTTTCACTCCGGCCCCTCCCTCCTGCTGCCCCCTGGGCTGGGCACTGACCTGGTAGGTGAAATGCTGGGTTGAGATGCCTGGTGGCCGATTCTTAATGGCCACTTGGATTGGCCCAGTGGTGCCATTGGGGGCGGGGGATGTCACACACACGATCCTGCGGAATGGAGGCCCCGGAGCGGCTCAGGGCTCGCATGGACCAGGCCCCTGCCTCAGTGGGAGCCATGGGCCACCCACCAGCCACTGCTCAGAACCTCCCCCGTCCACCCCTCTTTCCCCCCCCCGGCTCATCTGTTGGCGCTTCTGACCCAGGCCCACGTTTCTTGGCTGCAGGTCGCCCCTCTCTCTCAGTAGCCACTCTCCGAGGGCTTCCCCAGGAAAGCATCCCTCAGCTCCTGGCAGCCAGGATGGCTCACCGGGCAGAGGTGCGGTAGAGAGAGGGCTCGGGGCTGCAGGGGCGGCCGGCCACGTTCACGGCGTCTTGTACCTCGGCGAAGTCCCGGCCCAGGTTGGAGCCCCAGATGGTGAGGGCCAAGCCGCCCTCGGGGGGCCCCGTCAGGGGCTCAATCTGCAGTGGGGAAGGAAGGCAATGGAGTTCCCCGAACCCACCCCCACTGTGCAGTGGGGGTGCCCCAGCAGCCAGCACCTGGGATGGGCCAGAGCTGCTAGGGCTTGAGGGCCTGAGCTGGGGGAGGTCAGGACGGCGGGGGGCGGGGGGCAGGGAGGGCAGATGGGGGACGAGCCCGGGCGGGGAGGGAGGGCTGGAGGCTCACTCTGTCGATGCGGGGAGAGGGACACAGCAGCTCCACGGCCTCCGGGGGGCAGAGAGGGCCATAGCGACAGGTGGGCTGGTGGTGGCTGCACCACACACAGCCCAGGCTCCCATTGGCCGCCTGGCAGCGGCTGCAGTCGGGGTGGCCCACGGCGCAGTCGTACAGGGTCACTGGGGAAGGGCAGGCAGCGTGCTGAGGCACCTCCCCTCTGCCACACGCCCTGTCCGGCCGGCCCTGCCGCCCCCAAGCTCACCATGAAGAGTGTGGGCATTGTCCAGCCGCTGAGCCTTGCCCCGGGTGACATAGATGGGCACTCGGAGCTCCCGCTGGGCCACGGACGGGCGGAGCTGTGGGTGGAGGGTGGAGTCAGGCCGGGCCCGGCTCGGGACACCCCGACCCCCGTCTCCTCCAGGGCCCTCCTCCCAGAATGGGTGCCTTTGTTCCGTGCCCCCGGCTCCCACCAGACCGCAAGCCCGGGGCGGAGGCCGTGGGTGCCGTGTTCCTGCCGCGTGCCCAGCGCCCGCACCGAGCCTGCCTCGAGGGACGGTGAGACCCTGACGGCTCGGAACACTGTGAGGTGTGGGGCGCATCTGAGGGCGGCAGGTGAGGCTGTGGGGTGGCCACACACCTGCTGGGCCTGGCAGGAGATGAGGCCCACGTCCCCGGACGTCTCCTCCAGAGAGGCCGGCAGCCGTTGAAGTTCTCCGGGCAGCTCCAGCCAGCAGTGGTAGGAGGCGGGCAGGCTCTGGGAGGGGACACCGTCAGGCCGCTGGACACGGCACCCCGCCCCCACCCCTGCCAGCCCCCCACTCACTCCGAAATGCTGAAGGTTCCGCACACGCAGGGCCAAGTGGCTCTTCCAACCCACGGGCAGCAGGACGGGGCCGGCTAGGCCCTCCACCCGGGGACAAGCCCCCGGGCCACGCACCTGGACGTCCGCCTGGGGAAAGGAGACCCTTTAGCCCTCCAGAAGTTGAGAGGCTCAGGCAGGGCGTGGGGCGGGCGTGTGGCAGTGGTTGGGGCGGCCAGGCCCACCCACCTCCTGGGCACTGTAAATGGTCCCCTCGCCCTCTGGGCAGTGCTCCCCGTACACACAGCGACTACTCCAGGGGCACCAGTGGCACCGCCAGATGCTGCCCACACAGGCGCGGCACCTGCAGGGGAAGGGGGGTGCTGCTCAGGTCGGGCTCCATCAGGGGTCACCACCCCTCCCCAGCCGCCAAGCCCAGCACTCACGGGGCGGCCACCTCCAAGGCCTGGACAGCACTGCAGTCGTAGAAGGAGAAGTTGGTGGCAGCCACAGCCACATCCTCAAACATCAAAGCCAGGGGCAAGGTGATGTGGTCTGGGGGTGGGGGTGGGGATGACGGTGGCACGGCAGGTCATGTGGCTCCTGCCCCAGCCCCCTGTCCCCTTGCCCCAGGGGCCCCTCACCTGTGCCTGGAGGGTTAAGCGGCAGCTGGTCTTCGGGTGGGGTGACACAGGCCACGTGGGGCCCTTCCACGTGGGCCAAGCTGTCATAGTCCCCAAAGGCACAATGGAAGTATTCATCCGCGGCCAGGGTGGGCAGCCGGGGGACAGACAAGGTGACCTGGGATACATGCAAGGAAAACAGAGCAGGCAGGGGCTCCTGGGTAGGGGGGGTGGTGCGGCTCTGTCGCCGAAGGAGCTGGAGCTAGGGCAGAGTGGGGTAGGAGCAGAGGCAGGGGGGAGGAGGAGGAGGACGGGGGGCAGCCTAGGGGCCGGCGGCTCACCTGGCCCTGCTCCTGGCGGGGGTGGTAGGCCGGCAGCAAGCTCTGGACGTGTGGGCAGTGGCTGTCCTCGTAGCTCCACAGCCACTGGTTGGCCTGGGCTGCCCGCCCGCATTGGCCCTTGAGGGTGCACCTGTGGGCAGGGGCCCGTGGGGTCACCGTGTGGGTCTCAGGCTCCCCAGGTGATCGGAGGCACGAGGGTGGGCAGGGTGGCCCCGCTGGGGAGTGGGAGCCGGGGCTCGTGGGGGGGAGCTCAAGAGGGAAGGGCCGGTGTTGCAGGCTTGGGCCTTGACCTGAGTAAGAGGGGGCTACCGCTACAGAGGGGAGGGTTGCCAGAAGGGGTTTCTGGAGCCCAAGTGGGTCTGGGAGCACCTGGGCGAGGCGACAGAGGCCTGACGGGGGGTGGGGCTGGGAAACGAGAAGAGGGCAGGTGGAGCCATGTGGGGCGGGACGCAGGGACTGCACAGCGGCCCTGCACCTCCACCTCAGGAGGCCAGGCTGGCCTCCTGGCACGGCCAGGGCCACTTCTGGGTGTGCCCTCCCTGCACACAGCGCCTGTTGGCCCAAGTCCAGGCGCAGGCCTTGTGCTCACCTGCCCTGGAGGACACACCAGCCGCACAGCGGGTCCCGGGCCTGGAGGCAGCTGGTGCAGTCAGGGAACTCGGGGCAGGCTGCCACAGGTACCCGGTCCACCTGGATGGGCAGTGAGGGACAGGGGCAGTGGGTGCAGAGACTCGTGCCTGTGTGCTGCCCTCCCATCCCCCCCATCCCGGGGACAGGCCTCACCTGCTGGGCAGTGAGGACATAGACGTGGCTGCCGTTGCCGTCCACCAGCAGGTCTGGGCTGATAGCTGAGCCCCGAGGCCCCACTTGCTGGGAGTGGTACACGTGGCCGTGGGAGCCATTGAGGAAGACCTGGAGGGACGACGAGGCCTGCTCTTGAGATGGCCATGGGCTGACCGTTCAGGACACGTGCTCTCCCCTTGGTTGGGGCTCCCGGGGAGCATCCCGTCTCACGGAGCCAGCTCTCCTTCAAGCTACCCCAGGGAGGCCAGGCCAGGCCCCTGGGCATCCTGCTCTGCTTGCATCACCTCCCCCCGTTTGCCATCGCCCAGCCACCCTGGGTAAGGAAGGGCCTTGGGTGCCAGGGGCAGGCAGGCAGCTGCAAGGAGATAAGCGGGCCAGGGGGGGACAAGACTTCTGGGGCCAGGCGGACTCTGGGGACCAGGCACTGCCCAGCCCGCCCCGTGGCATCCCTGCCCACCCTGACTGCTCTTGGCTAGAGAAATCGGGAGCCTCCTGGCAGTCATCCTAAGTCATGCAAGGAGGAGCCCTGAAAGGTGGCACCCGGCCAGCCAGTGGCGTGCGGCATGGCCTTTCAGCCTGCCGGCGGGACACAGCCCGAGAGGTGGAAGGTACCCGGGGCTCCCGGAGCCACGGTGGGGCAGGGCACACCCAGGCAAGCCAGCAGGCCGGGCCTAGCCGAGCAGTGGGAGGGCTTGGTGTCGGGGGTCCAGGGCTGGGGCGGCCTGGTCACCTCACCTTATGCAGCTGACCCTGCGTGTCCCCCAGGAAAGCGATCGTGTGCCCGTCTGCCTGGAGGCCAGCCACGGCGCTGATGGGCTGCTTGAGCTGCAGCAGGGGCTCGGCCTCCAGGGGCTGGCGGCCAGCAATGGGGCTGGGGGTGTGCTCGTCGCCACAGGGGTACGACTCGGGGGAGTCCTGGGTGGACAGGGAGGGCAGGATCAGCCCGTGGAAGAGGCGGGGGGTGCCTTCCCGGGGCCCAGAGCTAGTCAGGGCCGCAGGGCAGGGCCGGGAGCCCTGGGGGATCCGGGCCACAGTGGTCACGCCCCCCACCCGTGGCAGGACAAGCCGACGCGTCAGAGGAAGAAACACAAGAAGCCGGCCCCGGGCAGCCGGGAGCCGGCACCTCCTTGACATCCTCTACCCAGGCGGTCACATGCGGCTGTCACACGACAGCGCCCGGCCACCCGCAGCCCGGGACTACGGCAGCAGCCCCCCCGAGACTGCGCGGAGGGACCAGACGGGAGGGGCACTCACGGCGGGCAGGGCGGCGCAGCGGGAGGTGACTCCGTACTCCACGGTGGCTTCCTCGGCGCCGCCGGGGCCGCGGCCACCCGCCGTGTAGCACAGGCGCCGCGCGTGCTCCATACTGGCGTCCAGCCGCGCCAGGGGGAAGGCGCACAGGGCAGCGCCCGCCCCGCCGGGGCCCGCGGCGAATGACCCCAGCAAGGTGCTTGGCGTGACGGCGGCGGCCTGGATGAGGCCCTGGCCCCGGCAGGCGAGGGGCACCTCCACGTACGAGTAAAGGTTGGCATCGCCCAGGCACACGCGGGCCACGTAGGAGCGGTAGTCGGCCTGCGCGCGCGCCCCGCGGCGGCGGAACACGAAGTAGGCCGAGCGGCCGGCCGCGAAGGCGCCCACGTAGCTGTTGTTGTAGTCGGAGAGGTCGCCCACCACCAGGCGGCCCAGGCCCTCGCTCGAGAAGGGCTGCGGCCCCGCCAGCTGGCGCACGGTCAGGGGCGGCACCCCCGCCGACAGCTTGCCCGCCAGGCCGCGGGCCACCAGCAGCAGGTCCCGGTCCGGCGCCTGCACCACCAGGCCCACCGTGGCGACTCCCGGGGCGTTGGCGGCCACAAACTGCCCGTCGCCGGGGTCCTCGGCCTGGTACAGCACGCGGGCCACGTCGTCCAGGCGCCGCTTGTCGCACACGCCCTGGCGCACCTGCCCGCAGGCCACGAGCTCCCGTGCGCGGCCGCTCACCAGCAGCAGCTGGTTGGCGTTGTCGGTGAGCCGTGCGTGCGGGCAGTCGGCCGGGTCGCGGAAGGGCACGCAGTCGGGGCTGTCGAGGACCGGCCCGGTGACGGCCACCGCCTGCAGCCGCAGCTCGGGGCTGAGCTGGAAAAGGCGGTTCACGGCACCGACGTAGAGCGTGCCCAGGCCCGGCGCCAGTGCCAAGTGGTTGAAGGTGGCGTTGGGGGCCGAGAAGTGACGGGCCCGCGTCGGGGGCGGCGGCAGGCTCAGCAGCAGCGCGAGCAGGAGGTGGGGGCCGAGGGGAGGCCGGGGAGCCATCGCAGGCACCTGGGGGGGCGCAGAGCAAGTGAGGCCCGGCAGGGAGAGCACCCCCGGCCTGCGCTGCCAGGGCAGCCAGAGGCCCAGAGGAAGGGGGCGGGGAGAGAGCCCCAGAGGGAGGGAAGACCGCAGGAGAGGGACAGCTACAAGGGAGGGAGAGGACAGAGCAGACAGGGGGAGACGCGGAGGAAGGGAGGGCCCGAGAGGCGGAGAGGGTGGAGGCCCCCCATGTGTGTCCAAGGAAAGAAATGCTTTCATCTCCTACTTTTTCTGCATCTAGATGGTTGGAGGAGGGGCAGATCCCGGACAGCCGCAGAACACGGACAGAAGGACTCCCACGGACAGAAGGACTCCCGCGGACAGAAGGGCGGTGGGAGAGGCAGGGAAGAAGCCAGAGGTGCTGATGGGGAGAGGCCAGGGGAGGCAGGGGGTGGGGCGAGGGGAAGGGGGGGCAAGGACGAGGATGCGGGACCAGGAAGGGTGGCGGAAGGCATGTCATGGGGATCCTGTGCCTGCCACTCAGGCAGGAGGCCACCGTGCTGGGGGGGCATCCGTAGCGCAGGGGACATCAAAGGTGGGGAGAGAAAACTCAGCCTGGGCAGGCAGGGCCAGCTGTAAAGACTGGACCCTTGGCGGTGGGGACAGGCAGGGCCGGGCATGGGAGAGACAGCCAGGGAGAAACTGAGGCAGCCAGAGACTGGCAGGCAGAGACCGCCCGCAGCAGCGGGGGCAGAGCAGGGGCTGGGGTGGGGGGAGATGTGAGAGCCA